TCAGTTCAAAATGCCACATGATCACGTCCTCCAAACGTGATCGCCTACATGTAAGATCAATTATGTCACGCGTGACGAAATGTAACTCAAAAACTCCTTGACAGGGATTCTTTGCGAAAGCGAAGACAATTGCACGCAAGCAACGTGCTCTGAAGGAAGGCAAAGCGATATATCACATAAGAAATTCCTACCTGTGGCAACTTAGGCAACTACCACCACCGACCCTGCTAACTGCATGTTCTCAAAATCATCGCTCCCCCCCTCCATCAATTCAACCAACAAAAAATGCCCTTGAGGCTGCACAGGGTCATTTTTTCAATAGAGTTGCTGCTCACTAATGTTGGCAGCAATGAATTTTACCGAGGATGGATAATTATTGTTTTTAAAAACTTTCTTCAGAACTAAGAAAGGATGGACTTGCAAAGCTATAATGACAAGTGAACTTAACGATTAAATAGAAAAGAAAAGAAAAGAACGATCGTTGTTTTATTCTTGTAAAGACATTGTGATATCGACCGTTTGGAGAGTTGGGCTAGGTGACGTGTCGTATTCAGCGAGACAAATTTACAGTTTTTAGAAAAGAAAAGTACGAAGACTTTAGGAATGAATGTAGTAGTATTAGTAGTAGTATTAGTAGTAGTAGTAGTAGTAGTAGTAGTAGTAGTAGTAGTAGTAGTAGTAGTAGTAGTAGTAGTAGTAGTAGTAGTAGTAGTAGTAGTAGTAGTAGTAGTAGTAGTAGTAGTAGTAGTTGTATCATTATTTTGTTCTATGCCCGGTGTTATTTTGTGTACAATTTTTCTCGCTGATTTTAAGTTTGTATCAACCATTTTTCACTAGAAGAATTGCAAAAAGCTAAAATGAGAGAAAATGTTGGTTAAATTTATACTCTGGCGTTTTTAGATATGTTAGAAAACAAACTGACTGCTCAACATAATGCTTTGCCGAGGTATTAACTATACATACCTTTCTTCGAAATGTTTGTTAAAATATTCCACGGTTCTAAAATGTGTGAAAAAAAAATAATTAAACTGACTGCTGAAAATAAAAGCTTGGCCGAGGTATTAACTATTTTTGTTCTTCAACATACGAAAATATCGGAAAACCTTGAAACCTAATCATCATTTACCAAGTAACAGATCACATCATGTCATTGAAACAAAAGTCTTGTAATTCAAACGAGAGAAAAAATTAATAGGCTTTCTGAAACAACAACTACTCAGATGAATGCAAATTAAGTTGGAGTAAATATACCTGTTTATTTCACTTAAAATAACAAAAACAACAAAACCAGTAAAACCACAAAACAAAAAAAGCATTAGAGTCATTAGATCTGGTGACTGAGAGAGAAGCCTAATTCAATTGCGTGGGGATAATTGGATTCCCGTTAAGTAATGTATATACATAACATGTTATTGATCGAACAATTTTTGCAATTCACAAAAGATGTTTTTGAATTTGTAATTGCAAGAGCTATTGATAATTTGTTTGGTTACTAAAACGTAACGTCTTTTTGTGTCACATTATTTTTGTTGGCGAATAATGATTTTTACGATTATAGTTGTACGTATTTATATAACTAACGTGTATATGCAATTAATGTTTTATTTGCTCATGCCTTCCCAAATCTTTATATTATGCAGTTAATTGTGAAGAAGTACTATACGGGCCGACTTTTTAAGGTAAGCTGTTAAGTGTTTATTTGTAGGTTAATTGTAGGCTCCGCATACAGTAACAACTTTGATGAATTGTAACCATTAAATAAGTTTATCGCAAAGAGTGTTAGGAAAATCAAGAAATTAAGAAGCCGTCCTTGGCGTATAATAACGGATTCAATATTATTTATTTCAAACCCTAAGACGGCCCCCGATATTGTGGGAAAAATAATGAAGTTTGCTTTTAATCGGCTCCGAACATATACGTACATGCATGTTGAAAGAAGATGAACGTTTATGAAGTTATAGCCGAACATGCGATTTTTAGCACACATTTCCCCTGTACCCCTGTTTATATATCATTTTATTTGTCACCTTGAAAATTTTCATTATATCTCCACCATTTGATGAGTTGATTACTGATTTCAGTGCTGTTTTAAATAGCCTCTTACTCTTCAATAGGGTAGCTCTCCCCTACGTAAAAGATCTTTCTATGAATACCTCATACACCAGCCGTATTTTATTTGTTTTCTTGTTTTGGAAAGAGGCTGTAGCAAAAGTGTCATTGGCCGTTGAGTAGCTAGTTACTATATAGGCTTTGGTGGTTAAAATTAGATTTCAAAACTCTACATGCCATTGAATCTTTTAGTCTTTCGCCGCTCATTTGTATCAAATTTTAAGAGGGTGGCTCTCCTACCTACAAAAAATGTCCTTTCCATGGCAACCTCATATTCAGCTTGCTTCTCCTCTTGTCTTGAGAGTTTATTCAGGGAAAGTGTCACCGGTCAATGAATAGTTAATTAGACTTTCATGGTTAGAAATCTTTAAGGGTTTGAATCCGTAAGACATCGCCTCTCAAGTTGTATCAAATTTAAATCGGCACCCTTATTGCCTTCTTGAACGCACAGCGAGTAATCCATTTCAGATTAAAACCTGTCAGAATTCTGTCCGATCAGAAACTCTTTCAGACCTTATTAGAAATAAAATGAAATATATGATGAAGACATCTACACAGTACAAAGTAATAGTACAATTTAAGGACAGAACTGAGCCAGCCAACTTCAACTTCCACGAGTGAAGCCACTGGCCAACCGATTAACACGCGATCGATGATCTGCGACGACGATTTTTGGGGCAAAAATAATTCGAAACAATGTCGCAATAATGCTCCAATCACTCTGAGAAGTTAAAGCAACTTAGTGGTGAAATTGAAAGCCAGCTGACTGAATAATGAGGGCTATGTTCCACAATAATCGCACTTGAACCACACTCTAGGTGGTCTCTAATGAAGAGATAATTCCCGTAACTTCATTTGGTCGTAAAAAATGTGGTCGCCATATTAAAGTTCGTCCGTTCTTAAAGCTAATGCATATAATTTTAGTAAACTTGTGATACCTTCTGATAATTTGCATCTAAGTTTGGCCTTTTTTTTATAGAAGTATAATAATGGATCTGCAAAAACTTTTTTTAATTCCTTCGATAAATTCCCCGCCAGTCTGTGTCTGTATAAATCTACCACCCAACTGTATGGAAACTTGTTTTCAACTTGATAAGACTTTGCACCTGTTATAAAGCAAAGTTATATCGTGACTTGAGGTATTTTCCTTGAACCCATAATAACAGTATTTGGTCTTTTAAAGATGGATAACAGAGTTAATAAGGACAAAAATTAATAATTTTATAGTTAATCATTAGTTCAGACTTTTCTCAAGACAAAACATTACAGTAAGTAACTCATGTTATCTCATGTTACTAATAATTATACAGTAATTTATTTGCTTTAAAAATAATAAATCAGAATTATTTTACCGCGGGACAACATGCTATCCGATATTACTTCTGCTATTTGATGGTACAAGTCGTCTACGGCACTTCAGAATTAATTCGATTACAACTGAACAAAACCAGTCATTTTATCACCCAGGGTCTCCGCCGCATTTATAAAAATATAGCCAGATACAAATCAAGTAAATTATTTACAGGCAGTTGAAACAAAACAACTGAGCTTCTATCAAGCTTGTGAGACTAAAAATTAAACTTAATGATTTGACGCCATTTTTTAATGGATTTAGTTAATTTTAGACATTGTTCTTAAACTTTACATTCTAGATAAACTGACAATACCGTTTTGTAATTATCTTTAATATAATCGACTTATTCATAAACCATTCAGAACTCATTTCGTTGCCTCGTTATTCCATAATTGATGACACATTTCCTCGATAACACCAAGTAATGATAATCCTTTTACTTATCCAGGGTCGATGCAGTTCATATTTCTAAGATGTTTTCAAGAGCAATTTTCTTCGTTTTCCCAGCCTTTTTTCTTGTTATTAACGACGTCATTCAGGCGGATTTCGACGCAATGGAGTAGGTTCAGTTTTCAGTCTTGCTATTTTTGTTCTTCTATTTTAATGGTATAGGATCAAATCAAATCAAGTAAGAGAGAGAGAGAGAGAGTTGGTGTAACCATAAACTTTCTGTGGTGAGAGTTTCTAGCCTAAATTCCTGTTTGCCATAATGTTAAAGAAAGAAAAAAAAATTTAGACATGCTGCCACAATTCAGAGGTATTCACTCCTTTAAGAAATGCAGTGATTAATTTAGGGAAATGATTTGATTGGCATGTTTGAATTTATAGCGGACATGGCCAAACACCGGATAACTTGCCTTAAACGTTCATTGAACAGCAGGTTAAACAAAATACCATACAGTTTCTGTTTATCTCCGCAGCTTGATTGCTCAGAAAAAGAGTGAGACTAAAATGGAAAGGAAATGAAATGTGAATGACAATTATGAAAACGATGTCACCTATTAACTGCAAACTGACTTATAAACTGCTAGAAAGAAATTAAATTTCCCGTGCTTTGTCTGAAAATTGACACAATTTTTTTCCCTTGTGACATAAACTGGAAACTGACTGTTTGCATAAATTCTCGGTATGAAATTTTCCGGTTCCAAAATTTATATAATTATTACGCGGGAACAATTGTAGCATCAATCGACGTCACAAATTCAAAAATCGTTCAGCTTTCTTGTTTTGTTCATTTTCAATTTTTAGAATAAAAAATAACTGAAATGTTGGGTTTTCTGCTCATAATTTACTCATATAGTGATCAATGCAAGGTTGCAGTAGAGGTTTCCCTTTAATCACACTTTAAGATATTCAAATCACATTTAAATACGTTCAGCCTTGGGTAAAAGGGATATATTAACTATTACTATTGTTTTCACTTGCTAGAGACATTGTCTTTAAGGCAACTGTGGCTGTTTATAGGACAAAGTATTAAGGTCATAAAACTTGATGTAAAAAACATTTTTTTTTAATTCAATACGTTTGTTGGTGTTCTAGAAATGCCCTAGAAGTAGATCGGACGAAGAACGCAACTACGACGTTGGACTCACTGCTAGCAAATTATGACAACAGGCTGAGGCCAAAATTTGGAGGTAACCAAAGTTTCAATGAAGATCTGATATATAGATTTAGCCAAGGATAATAGCGAAGCTCCCACGGGATCATTTAAGAAAGGACCTTCTGAGGTAATTCAGCTCTAGCCATAAGTAAGACGTAGACTGAATTCCATTTGGAGAAAAAATGCTCCGAAAGCTTTATGGCATCTTTAGAGCAATGTCAAGACATTTCTACAATTTATTGAAAATCAATTAACTCCTGACTGTAACTTGTTAACACCCGCAAATCTCCTAATTTGCCACCACTGTTTTGCTACGTGTGTTATTGGGGTTCTAAGCTATCAGATAGTTGTTTTTATAGGTTTCCCCACTCAGAATTTGATTATTCCGTGGCAGTCTTAAAATAAGTGGTCCAAAATGGCGACATAAATTATTTCATATCAAGCAATAAATAAATTCGTACAATGAATAAAAACAACAACAACAAAACAAACGTGCTTTCTCTTCCTACGATTACAGGGAGGCCCGTCATCGTCCATGTTGGCGTGTACATTGTTGATATCGGAGAAATTTCAATCACTAACATGGTAAGGAACGTTGCGCGCTGCATATGTATTCACGAATTAGAGAAGACCTGAAAAGTATCTTTATGGACAGAGTGTCAAAACAAAGTATACCCCTTCTTTAATAATGTTAAGTAGTTTGGTGATCATACACCAGCTCATGGCAATTATAGTAAATAGGATCTTATCAGCGTTTTTTATCTTTAAAACCGCTTTATCGCTGTAACCGACTCCTAAAAGCTGAAATTTGCTTGAAATGCTTCCAAACAGGACTACAGGATGACAATCTATCTAAGGCAGAAGTGGGAGGATCCTCGCCTCAGGTTTAACGGTACTGATCGTATCGTTGCCCAGGGAAACATACTTGAAAAAATTTGGATTCCAGACACTTACTTTAATCATGAGAAGAAATCAAACTTCCATGAGATCACAAAGAAGAACTATGAGCTCTCCTTCTATCCCAATGGAACAGTCTTTTTAAGCATAAGGTTAGTGGTATAAGATTCTTTAAATAAAATGCCTTCGTATGTCCACGATCAATCCATCCATCCATTCATCCATCCATCCATCCGTCCATCCATCTATCCATTCATCCATCCATCCATGTTTTCTCGTAATTTCCTCCTAAGTTCCGTAGGTTTTTTTCAGCATCGTGTTGCCCCCGAGCAAATATTGTTGCAAATCTATTTTTCGCCCAGTCATTAAAATGTTACTAATGGTACGGTTTTAGGATCTCATTAACTGGAGTTTGTCGAATGAATTTGAGGACATATCCATTGGACAACCAGACGTGCGTTCTACACATTTCGAGCTGTGAGTATTCAAACTCCTTTCATGGAAATAGAAGACAATTAGAGTTTAGAAAATTTGTCTAGTTCATTAACTTTAACTATCTTGGGCCCTATTTTCTGAAGAAAGGCCTGCCAAAAGCTCGTTTTCTGAGGAGGCCAACAAAGTACTACGGGCGCTTTCCAAAATTCAGAACTGGTTGGCTGGATTCTTCACTAAGAAAATGAAATATTTGCATTTTCTGGAAATTTCTACTAAAACCCATCACAGCCGTGCGTGCAAAATTTAGGAATAAACTGATCTTGCTTTATCCATAGTCCAACGGTTACGTTGGACTATGGATAACGAATTGAATTACGCGAATTGCTTTTTAGGATTAACTTCTGGGTTTTGGAATGAAAATTTTCAAGAAATTAACTTATTCATCTGTCATTGTTCATTCATAACATTATCTCAAAAAACAGCCGTGAGATTTTTTAGAAACACTTCAGACGGGCTACTCCTCTTTCTTGAATTAAAACTGAAGTGCTGTTTTTGTACATGAGCCATTTATTGCTATTCATCTTCTTATTCAGTACTTGCCATTCAAGAATTTTGCAATGTGTAGAATTAAAGTTTTTCTGCACTGAGTTTTGCAGTGTACAGTGTGTCGCCCTTTTTCCATAACTCGTGCCCTGAATACAGCTGAATACCGCTTGAATGAAGTTTACTGCGTTTTTTTCAGTTGTTTGTTTACGGCTTTATTATACTCGCTGAAAAAGTGAGCTTTTCTAAAATATGAAAGAGGTCTCCTCTATTCTAGCGAGTTTGTCTATTTTTTTTTAAAATACAAAGTTGTAAGTTGCTGTATGAACGTTTATATTTCTAGTGAGTTGTAGTTTATATTACAGTTACTAGCGTAAAAGGTTATCGTTTGCTCGTGCTTTCCCATGTCTGTCCTCAAAGAAAATATAATACACCTTACGGTAAAATTGAATGGTCTGATCTGGCTATCTTGTTCTTAGAAATGATAATTAAGTGCCCTAAGAGATGTGAAAAGCCCGTCATACCACCTTTATCGCATATGTCAAGAGCATAATGTAAAACCACTTGATAAAATACGGTGCGTCCAGTGACTTAGCTTAACCATTTTGCAAGTTATTTTCCGAGTTTCCATTTGATGCAAAAACGTATAATGTTCGGATCAATTAAGGTTTCTGTGGAACTGCCCACCTACTCCTCCCTTAAGCTAATAACGCTTACTTCTTATCTATACGCAAAATATTAGCTTAGGGGATGGGTATCCTCATTTTCTACATTCAAAAGACTCACTTGGTGGTTGGATGGTTGCATATACGATACGCCTCAATGTGACTGAGAGATGCAGTTATGAGTCAAACGTGCTTGTTGTCCTGGTTTGACTATGTGACTGCGTGATGCAGTTCTAGTCAAAGACCCACATTTCGCCCTTGCTCGCCATCGAATCTTCAGTAGCGCAGTGGTTAGAGCATCCGACTAGATGACGGAGGGTCGTGGGTCCGAATCCAATCTGGGGCTCGGATTTTTTTCCGAGTTTCCATTAAATGCAAAAAAAAAAAAAAAAGTATTATGTTCTTCATTATGAAATAGGAATGACAAAATATCAAATTATAATTACAAGGACGGATATCAACATTACGTTACTGCTCCAGCAATTTCTGGTGATGCATGCAAACTGAGTTCCAGGCCCGCAAAGCATTGTGGCGACCAACAAATAATTTTGGCCACATAACAAGCCTCATGGTCAAGGTAAATTGGTATTCAGAAAAAGGCGGTTCAAAGAAAAAAAAACTGCTATGGTTTGTTGTGGCGACGTGCTTAGGTAATAGTTAGCAGTAACTTAAATGACTTGGTTGAGTTAGATTTGATACTTCAATTTTTTTTTTCGGTTTCGTCATCAGATTCCTACTCTGAAACTGATTCAATATACACCTGGATGGAAGGTCTCGTTGGATCTGTGGAACGTGCTGAAGACATTTCTCTTCCGCAGATGGATCTTATTAGTATTCGATCATTTAGAAGTAAAGATGTGTACTCTAGAGGTACGATAACAATTGTCATAATCCAATAGAGCTATTAAGTGTACTAGGAAATGCCCCATAGGTGTTGGTCAAAATGTCTCATCTTTAATTAAGTAGCCAGCTGCGTGTGTGGTAGGCATAAAAAGGGGATGGGAGGCTACCGTTAGGCAGATATCGAATACAAATTTATACGATTGAGCCAGAGAGTCCCGTTATAAGTAGGATGAAGAGTCCGGGTAAATATACTCCTTGGCCGGGTAGTTTAAAGCAGGGTTAGTGCAAAATTTCAGATCAGAAATGAAAGGTTAAAAGGTAAATTCAGTTTTATTCTTTTTGTCTACAATTTGATGATTTGATGCTCTAAAAAGAATCGAGAAAATTATCCGGAAAATGCTTTTGAACAAAAGGAAATGAAACCCGGGTTAAAAACTTAACCCTGGGTTAGCGCTAATCGGCCTTCGAAAAACTGGCCCTGGCTGTTAGTGGACGTCTTCATGCAATGTCAGTCACTATCGCTAACATACCTTCATTTAGGATCTTCTGGATTAGTTTGTTAATACTTGTGCAGTGGAAACGCTTGCCTCTTTAAAAGAAGTAAGAATAAACACAGTTGGAAGGACGCGGTCCTCTGTGCGAGAGGTCCTGAGTTTGATTTCCAGTTATGACCTCCTTCCTTCCTTCCTACGTGGATAAAAGTAACTTTGAATACCCGTTAATTGGAATACTATAGTTTGAGAGGAGTAACATAAAGTTAAAATAGGGCCTCAAGTTTGATTGTTTGATGATGGATATTTCAAGAACCCAACGTTAAGCAAGAAGCCTCTACTTTTACCTTTAACTTAAAGCTCAGCGGCACCCAACGACTGCTTTCTGTAAAATGTCTGTTCGGAGAAGCAAAAATTGCCTAGAATTTTTTATAGCTTGAGGAAGGCTAAAAATTTCTAGATGACCTTTCTTCTACTCATATACAATTTTCGAAGCTTATCTAATAAATTCCCTACGATTTTCTAAAGTTTAATTTCTCGCATTTCGCTCCCAGGTAAAGCCATTATTCGTAGGAAAACGAGACCTAAAATTTTCGGATTCGAAAATGCGATGAAGAGAGGGATCAGAAAAATTCTTACTTTAGTAAAAGTTTAAATTGCATCTAAAATTTTCGGGAAAATAATACTTAAGCACTTGTAATTTCGAAAAGACTCAAGTTGCCCTAGGATGACCGAACAGATACAAATTTTATAGCACCGTTTAGAATGAATTTCTAAAAGTTCTCTGGATAGCCTAAAAAGTGTTTTCGATGCATTTAGGAGGAAACTGTCCTTGGGTGCCCCTGAAAGGTACTTACTGATAAGACTGATAAGACTGATACACCTTTCGCCCCATGTAAAGTAATCCGAATTCAGAAACCCGAGGCATTTTTGCTTTTTTTGCTGGGCTTTGGACTCCGCAATCTAGCTTAAGGCATTCGGAATCTCGCTAATGAGTAGAATCCAGAATCCAAGTTCTATTAACAAGGAATCGGGATCCAGCACCTGAAACCCAGAATCCACAGCACGAAATATCCAGAATCCAAGAATATTTTCGATGACCTTGCATAGGGTGATACTATCTAGCTATCTATTGCTTTTCAGGGAATTATTCAATGTTAAGCCTGGTATTAACGTTCCACAGAAGACTAAGCTTGTTCATAACAGAAACGTATATCCCATCTATTATGATTGTGGCGTTATCGTGGGTGTCATTTTTTATCAACTATAAAGCGGCCCCGGCAAGAGTAGCGCTGTGCATCACAACGGTCAGTATTTCCTGGTTCCTCTAAAACCAATTAGATCCTTCAGGCCTACTTGTTTCAATTATTTTCAAGTTAAGTCTCCATCTCGTCAGCTCATTTTTTGACTTTTCTCTCGGGTAGCCTAAGAAAACAGACACATTTCTCGAGGCCACCACTTTCCCCTTGAAATGGCGTCCGAGGAACGAGTGCAGAAATTCCATACTGATGACGCGTCACTAAGTGCTTGTGATTGGCTTAAAATTGGCTGCAATCAATCAGAAGCACTACCTTGATCTGAGTGGTGACACCTCCTTAGTATGGAATTTCTACGCTCGTTCCTTAGACGCTATTTCGCGTGGAAGCCCATGATGGCGTCACGAAATGTCAGCTTTTTTCTACCTGCAAGTACCTGGCTGCAAACGCTTAATTATTTCCATTTCGTTGTAATTTTTATGAATTCTTTATGATATCTTCGGACATTCAAAGATATATAATGAATAGCAAGAGGAGCTTTAGATCTGATAGACGTAAGGTTTTAATCCCAATTTTTGATAATAATAATTCCCACTAAAAATGTTGAGATCTTTTTAAATGGAATTTTGATTAGACTATAGTAGTTAAAGAGCGCAAACATGGAATTTTTTTTAAGAACTATTGAAACTCATACGGTCGAACAGCCAAAAACAAAACAAAACACAACGCGACAAACAAGCTGACAAACGACAACAACAACAACCCAACAAGAGCAAGATTGCTCTGTGTCTGACTACTCTCTCTTAATGATGTCTTGTTTAAAATAAGTCTCATTTAAAATTCTGTTTTTATCAGGTGCTTACTATGATAACGTTAACTGCAGCTGTGCGCAATTCTCTGCCGCGAGTGACGTACACAAAGTACAGCGACTGGTTTTTAATGACGTGTCTTGTGTATGTGTTTGGTGCCCTGGTCGAGTTTGCTGTTATCAATTTCCATGACAGCTTGGAGGCAAGAAAACATGAGACACTTAAGTGCAAACTAAACGACGTTGACATGGAGAGCGGGGTAAGTGGAATTATGACATAAACCTAAGGCTCCTACTGATGTAGTAGAAACTAAACAGATCCACGAAACATGGCATTTATAATTATTCCTTGAGCCCGCGTTGGATAGGAGGTTGCTGATAGCCAACAAAGCGCGAAGCACCTGAGTTGGCCATAACCAGTAAGTGAATTCGACCGTCATTTTATTCACTTCTTTTATAGTTTATTACAAATCATCAGCTAATTCTTAAATCAGAATTATAACCTGTAGCAATGATTTCTCTTCTGTAATTGAGATAAATACTAAATAAAATACATTTTTAGATGTTTATTATATTTATTGTTATAAGTAGAGACTGAGAGGGTATTAAATTATCAATACCACGCATCAATCCTAGACACGGGCGTCCAAAATCGTGGTTTTGTCAGTTGTCAAAAAAATTCGTTTAACAAAAAACATACATGGTCAAAAGCTACATGAAACAAAAAGCTTTACTATGTTCTTCTGTCACGAATTGACAAAAAAAAACCTTTAACTTCACTGTCCATACAAAGTGAAATACGGCCTGCTTAACTGGCCAGTCACAGTCCTCGTACCAACTGAGATATGAAATATTGTTCATTGGTGTACGCTGGAGGTTGCCAAGCACGAAAGAAGAGGAAGAGTCAACCAAAAAGATAGCGATGGCAAAGGAAGCGCAACTCTTGCTTCATACGTGTCGCCTGTTAACGCATGCAGTTCATAAAAATTACCCTGAACTATTCTTTCTTTTTTTGCAGCGAGATGAATCCTGCAGAGACATAGAAGAAACGGATAGCAACGACTTGAAAACCAGGTACTTACAGAAACAGTTAAACAACCTGCGAGAAAAGGTCAAGTTATTCACGGAACATGACCTCAACGTGCAAGCCATTGACAGCCGCTGTAGAATTCTGTTTCCGCTGACATTTGCCATCGTCAACATCATTTACTGGATTTACTTCATCTTTGATTCCAAAAGATCGTAGTTTCAGCATCTCATCAACTGAACTTAAAGGGGCTGTGTCACGGCAGTCTAGTTCATTTTGCTTAATTTTGCCAATTGCTCGCCCTCAATCGGTATGGAACTTAAAGTAATCAAGGAAAATACAAGGAAATGACAAAATCAGAGATTCGAGACAAACAAATATGTCTCCTGAGCATTCTTTTTGAAGTTGCAAACAGCAGAGATCAGCTTTGAAAAACTGTTAGGCTGAACAGTTTTCAAAAACCCTAATTTCAATCCGTTTCAGTCTTCTTCAGTTTTGCCCATCCGTGGCATCTGTTGTATCTGTTGTGTTATTTTAACCTTCCTTTAATTTTTTAAGCGGTTATTTTTACGTTTCTCTTAATTTAACGGGCATTTTGTAATTACCTAATTTGGCTGAATTTCGTGACACAGCTCCTTTAAGTGGATCATACCCCTCCCCTAATCCAAAATTTTGCCTTGAAAAACGTCTATGACAGGCAAATACCTGTGAGACCTGTGCTGCCGGGGCGCAGAGGAGTTATAACTGACCTTTAATTTGTATGGTTAGATTCACAGATACATAATCGCCATTGTTTACTATAAAACTGCTAATTCGTATTTAACGCTAAAAACTCAAACTAAATATTCATCCGTTTTTCCGAGTTTTCACTTTCATGAGGTATAGGAAAACAGTAAAAACACATACATTTTTTTAAATTGTGTTTTGAGATAAAAGTACAATATTATAACATGCCCGCGGGTGGCTAAGCTAATCTAGGCGGGTCATGTTTACAGGAAATAAATACAACCTAATATAACTAAAAGTAACAAGAGAACTAAAGAAACTGACAACAATTACTAGAGACTACTGATAAACTAACAGAATTAGGGACTTGCCAGAAATTAGCAGGGGTGAGGGGGGGGGGGGGGTGGGAAAAAGAGGGGGGATCACAACTTTTTGGGCCCGGAAAAGGGGGGGGGAAAGGAAAAAGGGGCCGGGAAGGGGGGAGGGGTAAGGGAAAATAACGCCGGTGATGATGAAAGGGGTCCCCCACAAAAGAAAAAAGAAGTTCTTTATTGGGTAAAAAAGAGCAGGGGGAAAAAGGGAAGGTGGGGGGGGGGGGGGTTGGAAACAGAGGGAGGATCACAACTTTTTGAGACTCAGAAAAGGGAGGGGCAATGAAGAATGGGCCGTGAAAGGGGGGAGGGTCATGCAAATATATGCCCGTGATCATGCAGAGGTTCACCCACAGAAGAAAAAAGAAGTTCTTTATTTGGTAAAAAAAGACCTGGGAGAAATAGGAGAGTCGAGTGATCAGCTGTCAGCATTACAAAGAACAGATTAGAAATATATTTTGAGTTTTCATAGTAGTAACTCACCCTAGTGTATTGAAAGAACTAGATTTTATCATTGATACAAAGGGGGGAGGGTCATGATATTTTAGGCCAAGCTTAAGGGGAGGGTTAGCAAATTTCACTCCCATTGCAGGGATGGGTAACCTCATTTGCGACCCCAAATTTAAAATTCCTACCCCCCCCTCCCCCCTGCTAATTTCTGACAAGTCCCTAACCAATAATAAATGACAACAGTTATGACAAGATACTACCGATACACTAAACGATATTAAAGATTACATACTAACTAAGAGAAAAATAAATTCAACTTAACTTTTTGAACGATTTCTGGGAGATCAATATAACAGTCTTCTGAAGATAGGATTCCAAAAAGTGTTTGTTTTATTTTCCTCTTAAAGGCATTTTTAAAAGTTTTCTTAACGATACAGGCATTTCATTCTATATATTTGTTCCGATTCTAGAAGATAAATTCACTTGAATTGAGAGTCTGGAACTTTGTGTGTAAACACTTACATTTTTAACAATTTTCAGTGCGAACGCAAGCATATCTGACCGTGATCCGCTCCTAGAAAGTCAGTGTTGACGAACTTATTTTATTGAGAAAGCTTATTGGTGCTTGCAAAAAATGGGCCGGTGATAATTTACGGGGACTGAAACTCAGACTAAATTCTATTTCCTCTCGTCTCTTTCGATGACTCTTTCTTATCAGTCGCTCCTGGTGATGCCTAGCCCGCGGCCATTGCCGTAAGCTTTATTGGTAGTAACAGTAAAATTTATTTCGTGCTAGTTAGTCAATGATAGCAACGTTCATATTATCCAATAAATAAGGGCAATCAGTGAATCTGAAATCAGTGTCAAACGTAACTCTTCTGAGGTCTGTGATCTGCTTACTAGATAGCATGCGGTGCTGGGAGGCCTAATCGTCTGAAATACTTTAAACTCAGTTCGGCGTAGGCTGAGAATATTTATTTTATCCTATTAGTTTGGACAGATAGTTAAGTTACATTAAGTAGCAATAAAATCATTAAAAATAGATTAATAAGATGAAATTAAAATAAGTAACCAGCTGGGAAGGTGACTGTGGTAAGGAAATCTCCGAGAAGCCAACGAGCTTTTAAGAAAGTCCTCCGCGACGTCACCGACGGTTTCCCTGCGAAATGACACCAGAGACATGTTTAAAACAATTCAATTCTGATGACGTGCAAATACCCAGATCTGAGCAGTGCTTCTGATAGGTTTAGAAGGTTCAGAATTGGTTCTGATTGGTTCAGTCAAACAGAAGCACTACCCAGTAGGCCAAGGCCAACCGTTTATTAATGTGCCACTTAAGGTGTTTCGATGCAGTTTTCAGAAGCCATACCGATATTTTTCAATCGCCTTAAAAGTAGTTTTTTCCTTGTCCGATCGCTATTAAATTTTCACCAGTAACTGGCTATGGATTGAAAAGTGTGAAAATATAGTTTTAAGTAAAAGCGATACTACTCTGACAACATTAAACAAAAATCTTTGAAATTGATAAAAGCCGAATTTTGTGTGATCTAGACCAGCTACAGAAAATCCAACACTAGGAACTTAAAGTTTGGTGTTCAGCAAATAGCCTCAGTAAGAAGTAAAAAATTCTGTATATAAATATATTTCAAACCTTAAACTTTCAATAGCCGTGATAGATTATTTGATAAAAACGTTATAAATGACTCAAATTATTCTTAAGTAGCGTCAGAATGCTGTTTAATATCATATTTCGATGCTAGGAAATTTTGGTGTATTTTCGTTGTTGCGATGTCAAAAACTAACCCGTGATCTCACCACCTGTCTAACTGCAACTTCATTCAAAATTTGGACTTTTAACTTGTCTCTGAAACGACAAGAACAAATTAATATAAAATCTCTTCACATAATGTTCATAATGTATATAATAATGTCTGAAACTTTCATTAAGATTGATTCACTGGAACACCTTGAAATTTCAAGACAAACCTATCTTACGAACCGGTCAAAAATCACGCGCCACAATATTCAGTGATTTGATGTTATGCTAATTTTTCCAAATTAATGCGGACAATACATATATCCATGACTAGTACATTTCAGTGTGAGTATTGTCAATGGTTTACATTCAAAAGATGCGATAAAGATGCAGTAAAGTGCGCATTATTTTGGAATAATTAGCCTAACGTCAAACATAACAGGTTCGTAGGATAGTTTTGTCTTAAGACGTTGAAGTAAATCAATCTCAATGAAAGCTTCAGACCTTATTATATACACTATGAAGATTATGTGAAGAGATTTTTAAAAAATTCGTTCGAGGCGTTTCAGAGATATACAAAAAAGCGTTTAAGTCCAAATTTCGAATGAAGTTGCACTTAATTATACGGGTGGTGAGAAAACAGGTTAGTTTTGAAGATCGCAAGAACGAAAATACACCAAAATTTACTTGCATCAAAATATGATATCAAGCAGCATTCTGACGCTACTTAAGAATAATTTGAGTCATTTATAACGTTTTCGTTAAATAATCCATCAAGGCTATTGAAAATTTAAGGTTTGAAATATACTGTATTTTCGTTTTAGTCGAATTCAAACATAAAGAATTTTTTACTTCTTACGGAGATTGTTTGTTAAACACCAAACTTTAAGTTCCTAGTGTTCAATTTTCTGTAGCTGGACTAGATCGCACAAAATTAGGCTTTTATCATTTCCAAAGTTTTTTTGTTTATTGTTGTCATAGTAATATCGATTAAACTTAACACCTCATTTTCACAAATTTCAATCCATGGCCAATTACTGGGTACTTATAGCGATCGGACAAGGAAAAAAACACTTTTAAGGCGATTGAAAAATATCGGTATGGCTTCTGAAAAACTGTATTGAAACACCTTATAAGTGTTTGTATTTATCGGTAATCAATAATTGAAAACACAAAAATACAGAAGAAATGAAGAGAAAATACCAACAAAGAGTCTTAAACGTAGAAATGGGTACTTTCACACCCTTGGTCTTTGGCACAAATGGTGGTATGGGTATTGAAAGCCAAGTTTTTCTAAAGAATCTAGCAAACTAACCCTGAAATTTTAAGATCTGATCTGATCTCTCTCTCTCTTTGTCAGAGGGTCAAGAACCCCTTTTAGATATAACAAAGGCACATTAGATGACTTTCATTTGAGCAATTTTATAGCTTTTTTAAAATTTCCTTTCCTTTAACGGTTTCTATATACGGTTTACATAATCTTGGTGAGTGACAGTGTTGAGAATATTATTAATAGTCAATGATGTTGATTTGCGCCTATGACTGACACGTATTTTAACTATACTTGTTTTACACATAGAAAGAAAATTAATCCTTTTTGTTGTTGAGGTGTGCTGAAAAGTGTAATTTACTTGATTAATATAGAATTCTTCTACCGTACAAAAAAATAAATAATAATAATAATTAATAATAAAACAAAAAGTTAAAAAAGCTATTGTTATAAACTAGAAGCCTACAGAAAGTGAGAAAATTTGCGTTTTTTCTCTTTTGTCTGTTTTTATTCTTTCTTTAATTTTCTATTTTTAAACTCTTTTGCAAAAGTTAAGAATAAAAAAAAAATGAGAGTAAAAATGTAGGTCTTTGACGCTATAATTAAGTCCAGCCTTTGGGTGATTTAGAGCAATAATAATAAATAA